AAAAAAAGGTAATGATATATTACAATACCAAGGAGTAAAATATAGAAGTCAAAGTGAAATACTTCCTACATTTTTTCTAAGAAAAGGAAATTAAAATAACAGAAAATATTTAATGTAAATAAATGTTATGAGATAAATTATTAAGTTATGGATAAAAAATATTTTTTTACTATTATTTAAATAAATATTTAAAAAAAGCTCAATAATTTAGACAGTAAAATAAGTTATAATCAGTGGCCTAGAAAGTATTATTAGTATCCCTGGTTAACTTAAAAAATTCACCGATATCAGAAAAAATAGGTAAAATATAATTTTGCACCCTGGCATTGGTACAGTTTAACATACTCTTGCTATACCACTGTTAAAAGTTATGAAAACTTATAAATCTTATAAATATTTTCAAAATTATAATAGTTTATTAGAAATCACTAAAGCTGTTTTAATTTAATATAAATCATTTTAAAGAGATTAGACTACAAGTTAATGAGAAAACACGAAATATTTAATAGTGTCACGTAGAGAACAAGTAAAAAATTTGTTAATAGTCCGAGGATTTACCTTCGAAAAGGTATTAAACTTTAAATACCTGGGAGTAGATGTTAACCATCAAGCAAACAGCCATGAAAAAATTAAAAGAAGAATAACTGTAGGAAATAAGAGCTGTTTTGTGCTTGCACCTATGTTTAAATCAAGATTAATCTCCAAAAATACAAAAATAAGACTATATAAAGTACTCATTAGGCCTATAGTCTTGTATGCCTGTGGAGGTCAACAAAGTCGGACGAGAAAAGATTACTACTATTTGAAAGAAAAATACTGCGTAGAATCTATGGGCCCAAAAGAAACGAGGAATATTTATATGAACGAAGAACTAATGCAGAACTGAGGGCAATATTCAATGAACCAAACATAGTGGGAATTCTTAAAAGCAGACGATTAAGCTGGGCATGTTTAGAGAGCGGAGGGCCAAACAGTGCATGATGTCACATTGTGGAAACCAAATAAAAAAACGACCGATAGGGAGACCAAGACAGCGATGGACTGACCGAGTCAAAGAAGACCTCAAGCTTCTGGGTATTAGAGAGGGAGAGCAACTGGCGAAGAACAGAGAGCTGTGGAGAGGCGTAGTAGCGTAGTAGAAGCGGATGGACCTTTAAGACCCGGAATAAGCCAAAAAAATAAATAAATAAATAATTTTCAACGTTTACATATAATAAGCATACTTATTAAATGGTTTTATTGCAAATTTTCTTTTCAGTAAAAACAGCCTTAGAAATAAAATTAACCAAAGAAATCAAATGAAAAAAAATGCATAATTAAGGTATAAAAAATACATTCTAAATAAATAAGTATTTAAAAATGTCATTTAATTAAAATAAAGAAAATCTACTAAGTTTCTAATTTCTAAAACAATAAGGAAAATCGATACATTTATTATTGCACTAATGATGAATATAATTATTCACAATTGAAAATATCTTCATTACTTAAAAATAAATTTGAACAATAAATTAGTAACACTTATTTGATAGTTATTTTTTTCAATGGAATAATGATTAAAAACACATTTCATACCATACAGTGTCCAGAACTATATTGATAGTTTTATAAATTTTATAACTATAACAACTTTGATTCAATCAATTATTATTAACTAAATGGTTGGAAATAAAATTATATTAAATAGGCATTTTAAATAAAACATAATTATATTCCAATATTATTTGATAATAACCAAAACTGAGAACTGATAATTAGTTATAAAATGTAATAACATGACTTAAATTATTTTATTTGTTCCTTGAATAAGGTATAATAAGGCTGGTTGTATTGGTGAAGTGAAATATTTGAACATAACATATTGAAAACAAATTTTAATAGTTGGTTCTTTATTATTAGCTACTTTGAATTTGATTTAAAGATTAATTTTATAATTGTTTTTATCATTTTTTTATTGTAAGATACATAAATTAGTTCATAATGCATGAAAAAACTATTTATAAATGTCTTATAATTTTTTAATAACTAGTACTCATATTCAAATTTTCTAACTTGAGTAATTAATTCTTCATTTATACTTTTATTTTAACTATCTAAAAATGCAATATATTTAATTTTCAATCTAATTTTAACCAAATAAACTTTTATTAGTAAAAAAAAAATACCTAACATAAACAAGAAGGATAAAACTATTCCAAAATACATAAATAGAAATGCTATTTTATTATAAATAATAAATAATATTTCTAACCATCATTAAATTTTCCTTCAAATATATCTTTGCAGCCAGTATAATAATAAAAGGTGACGACATGTGCAATCGGAAACATATTTTTATCTGGGCACATAAAAATGGTTTTTGTTAAACCTGTCGTCAAATGAAATTTCTTGATCTTATGATATACTTTTAGCATCTGATTCACAATAAACATTATTGTCCAACGTTTGGATAGGCGTGATGGAGCTCGTCTAAACACATAAGTTAAAAAATAATAATATTCATAATTTTTACTACAGATAGATTAATAAACTTACATATCCCCTGAGCAAATACGGAAATACATCATCATTATATCTATGAATTTTTTTTGAAAATCATTGTACCTTTCCAATTTTTGTTTTTTGTTGGAAGAGTCAAATTTATCAAATGCATTTAAGAGGTATCTGAGATCTACACAAATCTAAAATAATATTTAATGCAAATACATAATGTATGGATTAACAATTTATTAATTGAATATCAATATGTACTTACTGTATTCGCAAGTGGCACCATCCAGTTTTCATTATCTGAAGCCTGAAGATACTTAACAATGTTTTGTAAAATTGCCAATTGTCCTTTGAAAGCTTCATCATATTTATTTTCACCAATTGATTTCAAAACGCTTAAACAGTTTTCAATATTAATTATATTTAAATTACTTATAACATAATTCGGTATAAGTTACAACAATTTTTTTTTTTGATTGAATTTTAAAATTATAAATTATTTATTGTATAATATATTAAATATACTATAAATATATTTAAATCATATTATTTGTATTGAAAACAGTAGCAGAAGATATACTCGGTTTTCTTATTAACACATTTATAAATTTAGTTTTTTTAAAGAAACAAACTTAAATAAGTACTTTATTTGTTAATTTTTTTTCAATAAAGTTAGTTAAAATATTTTATTTTTTTTTAAGTATACTTACAAGTTTGACTAAATGATAAAATATTATTTAATTTAAAATACCGAAATAATTTTTGTCTATAATAACAAGTACAAATTGTGACTGCACTATTAATACAAAATATTTATACAAGAACTAGAATAAATTGTATGTAATATATACACTAAATACAACATTGAAATCAATAGCATCATCCATATTGACTCTACAATAGTCACAAAATAATTAACACTTAACATAAAAAAATTACTTTAGATGTAAAATGATTTCATTTTCAAAATCTAGTTCATTGTCTACAGCAATTTTTTGAAGATATTCTACAGAGTTTTTATGATTCCATTCTTTAGATTGATTATCCCTCAATGAAAAAAAATTCTGCAAAATAAAAGATTATTTTCATTACAGTATCAATCAGATTTGTAATAGATAGCTACAATAAAATATTTACCGCCAATTCTGTACCATTTTCATCGTTGTAAAATGTAGTGGTCTGAAATTTACAATAGTGATTATCCAACAAATAAAAATAAGTAAAATACTACAAGAAAATGTGAGATATATACAAATTATAATTGATCAACTTACCGCTAAAACATAATCTTTAGTGTACATGTTTGTATTACTAAGTTCTAGTTAGTAAAATATTATAAAATAATAGAAATCATTAATAAATATTTATCGATTACTTTTAAAAACTAACTATTATTTTTCTGTTGTACGAAGTTTATCAAACTATAGAAAAGTATTGTTATGATGATACAAGTATACATGATAAGACATGATACTACTGGAAATTAATTTTGTATAGTTTGCCGCGCTTTGAAAATCGAATGCGATGCCTCCAGTATTTTTTAAATTTACTGTTCACAAATTTCATAAAACCTGAACAACCTAAGAGTAGATGAAATCTTATAAAAATGTAAATACATTATACTATCACAGATTGAGCAATACTTTTATAATACGTTCACGTACAATAATTACTATTTTATGTGGAGTAAAAAATACATTTTAAATATTATGTACTTATATGGCTACATATTATTACGTTGCTGGGTAATAATTAAATATTTATTCAATTAAAGAATAATAATAATTTAGTAAAACGAAATCGTTATTAAGTGTTTCAAGCCCCAATGCATTCCAAACAAAAGCAAACAAGCGTCAACTGTCGGTCTATAATAAACATTAACTTTCTTATTTTCTATAATGACCAATTTACCAATATATTATAATACAATATCGCATGTAATGCATTTGATTATAAAATAATTATATTATTAAACTATAAACGAAGATTATATAGCATAGAAAATATATATATATATATATACAAAGTGATTTAAATTAAGTACCTACTGAGAAAAATGCAAGTGTTTTATGTAATTCAACATTCGTATACGTATATGTAAATATGCATTGTGTGCATCTTATCTAGATCATAATATGAGCATATTATGATATATTGTATAATTATGGAAATTAATTTGCTTACGACGTAACGTTTGCCTACATAGAAAGTTATTTTGATAATTTTATTTTTTCATATTTGATGTTATCTATTTACTTAGGCTACTAAGTAGTAGTGTAAGTAAGAGGAGGGGAGAGGATTCATTACCAAAATCTCAGCTAGTAAATAAATGTGTGATAATGAAAATAATTAGTACTAAAATATATCAAACTCCCAAGAATAATTCCCATCTTAAGATATTCAAAAATGTTGTATGTGATTTGTATGCAATTGTGTGACTGCTTTCAGAATTGTTGTTGAGAATAGTTCCAAATAATTATTGATGTAATAACCGAACAACTGTGAGCAGTGCCGCCGCAAGCTTTTACGAGGGCTTTTGCAAAATCAGTACAATTTCCTTACATCTAAATATATTTAACTATTCTTACTTGATAAATTGTGAGCCTCGAATTTATTTTAAGCGCGAGGCCCTAGGCGATTGCCTAAGTTGTCTGATCGATAACGGTGGCACTGACTGTGAGTATATATGGATATAGTTTAAAAGTATGTTATGAATTATTATTATTAGATATAATAATTAAACTTAATATTTGTCTTTGTGGTTTAAACATGACATATTTATTTTGGACCACATTGTCAAAATACATTTTTAGTACAAAATTAAATTAAAATTATATATACAATAATGTATAAACATTAATTCCACTCTTGTGTAACATTTTTTTTTGAATAATATTCTGGCTAAAATAACTGAATATACGAGTACATTGGATTGAGTAATCCAAAATTTAAAATTTGCTTTGAATAATATGTTACAAGGGTCAAAGTCCAAGGATATTGAGAGGTAAATCAAATAAATGAAGTGTTTGATTCCCAAATTTTGATTACATTCTTATTTTAAACATTATTTTTTTTAAGTCAGCAATAATTAAATATTTTTAGTAACGTAATAAAATAATATAAATCAATAATCATAATTATCTTTTTTGAACTAATGATTATTTTTTTTAAAATTAATATTCTAAATATTAGTGCTCCAATATGTTGAGTGGTAGTAGAGGGAATGCTCGGTGATTATGAAAGAAGAGTTAGAGAAAATAGAGGTATATTACAGAGTAGGTATGAAGAGGAGCAAGAGAGTACGGAGAAGATTTTAGGGTTGAAGATATACTAGTTGTGACCAAATAAGTGGGTTGAGGACGATTTTAAAGAGCGATGAGGCATACTAGTGATTATGAAGGAAAACAAGGAACTATGTATGGGTGGTAGGATTATGGAAGGGGGTTCTGTAGGTTCGTGAGAGGGTGTGCGAAAAGTATGTTAGTGAGTTATACTTGATTGAGTGCGTTAAGGTAAGAGGGTGTGAGTGAGTGGGTTTGCTAGGTTGTGTGAATGGATGAATGAGGATATTGGGTATGAGAGATTGGTGGGTATGAGTGTGAGGATAGGCGGGAGTGGGAGAGGTAGATGGGTGTTGAGTAGATGAAAGAGTGTGGAGCTTAATGGATATGAGAGGAGTGTGTGAGTAGGTGCGTTCGTGTATGCGGGGGGGAGGGGGAGGAGAGTATGTTTGGATATTTGGATGGAAGTGGGTGAAATGGATAGAGAGTATGTGAGTGTGAAAAGAGTACGTTGGTGTATAGGGTTGTGTGATTGAGTGCGTTTGTATTTGGATAGGAGTGTGAAAATGAAGGAGATTATGTGGGTGAGTGTAGTGCAGTATGTGTCTGAAGAGTGTGTGAATGAGTGCATTGGGTATGTGAATGGGTGGTTAGTTTGTAGGTGGGTGAGATATATGTGGGTGCGTGTCATATGGGTGAAAAATATCAGGTAAAATTAAGTTCGTGTAAACCCCGCCAGTGAAGAAAATCAAGTATAATCAAGTATATAGTTATGTCATGATGTAAACTAAAATTATGTGATACAATTGTAAATATTCTAAGTCTTGTATTACTCCATCAGTGTACTTATTTACAGAATCCTGTAATACTGTCATTTTTTTTTATTTCGTATTTTCTAGCTTATTTACTTGAGATATGCCATTTAGTTTTGTATAAGTATGGGTTTGAAATTCGGTAAGAACTTTACTAAAAATATGAAAATTCAATGGACTTTTCTAAAATGAATTTCTTAGATGACTATGAAAGGATTCACAGGCAAAATACAAAAAAAAAAAAAACTGGCAAAGTTTACATTAGACCTTTTATTACCTTTTTATCTTAACCGATATTTTGGCGGGGTTTACAATCGCTCGTGAGATAAGTACATGAGTGGTTACGGTGGATGCGTATAATTGGGATCGATAATAATAGTTTTTTATACCGATATTTTAAATATTGTACCATTTTTCGATATTGACATTCGTTGACGCGCGGACTTGACGTGTATATCAGTGTAGTGTAAGGGTGTATATGTGATTGTGGGTCTGTATGTACTACGCGTGACTTATATTCTAACATCACATGATATTTTGTGAGTATGGAACCCATCGATTTCAATAAGTTGAAACTTATTAAAACTTATTAAAGTTATATACGAAACATTCAAGTTAAATATTATTACGATTAGAATAATGAACACCCACTGTGCAATTATTTGTTCCATCATTGTTATATGGATGTTTTTTAAAAACACGGAACATTACAAATTGCGTTCTTAAGGAGTATGTTTAACATCCCAGTGACCATATTTCTACCGTAATGATGTCTTTCAAAAAACCTCTTTTAAACATTACTTTTCAACATCCCAACAACAGTTTAAAACAAACCTCTTTTAAACATCACTTTTCAACGTCCCAATAACAATATAATACAAACATAATAGTGCATAAAATATTTGTTCCTATGTAACATCCATAAGCTGTTGCAATTAGTAATTGTATGGATGTTATTCATTTCCAATAAAATAATGCATTATACTATGCATATTAATATCATGGTACCACATTAGCATTGACACAACTAGGGAGGGAGGGTGCTTTAAGTCCTTAGCACCCCAAAAAATTGTATTTAAAAATGTATAATTTAAAATAAGAATTACTAATTTCAAAGATAATTACACATATTATTCATAAAATAAATAAAAAAATTACACAAAAAAAATGACTTTTTTTAAGTGACCTTTTAAAAGGTTTTTGTTTTTTCATAGTGACCGTGTTTCCACATAAGCAAAAAACAAAACCAGAGATTAAGCACTCCTTGTTCAAATTTCTAGTTGTGTCCATGCACATTAGACATCAAGCATAGTATTTCTTTAAAAATTAAAAATATATATATATTATGTGGCTGTTATATGTTGAAAGAACAAAATAAACCTCATTGTTTAAAAATTCAAATTAAATACAATAAAATAGTTGCTCATTAAACAAATAATAAATTAAGTGTTTAATATAATTATTTATAATTTGTAGTTTGGACTTCAGAATTTACTTTTTAAATACTTAATTAATGCAAGTTAAGTATTATTAGGTATTGAATTTAAAATACCAATTTAAGTATACTAACTTCACACTTTTAATTACTTATTGTAATCTGTTAGCTCGTAGACACCCTTACATTTGTTAGTAGAACTCATTATCTTCATGAAAAAGTAAAAATATATTTTTTTAAATAATACCATATAATAGGTATAGAGAGATAGGATCATGTTTAAATAAAATTAACATACAATTTAAATCAGTTATCGTATTTTATTATTCTCTTATTAACAAAATACAATAAAAAACAAAAAAACTATTAAACAAAGAAAGCAATTTATCACAAAATATAATTATAACATATATAATTTATACTTTGATACATATAATCATATTATGATTGACATTAAGCTGCATGACAATGTAGAAATAAATGCTGATTCGTTTGATAATCTAACAAAAAAGCATTTAAATTTAATATTTTCTAAGCTGATATGAAACATTTCAGATATTTGAGAAGTGTTAAGAATGTATACACCAATTTTAAATGAAGATAGTGGTTGCGTAGTTGATTCAGAATAATTAAGAAATTGTTTTACAAACAATTGTATAGGTTTTTTATAGGGTTGAATAATATGATGAACAGATACTATCCTTCCATCTTTTAATATTATATTCCTATCTTTTTCTTGAAGAACATTTATTAAAATATTAGAAATTGGTAAAATAATTTTTTCAAAAAGTGTGTCTGTAGTTTTAAAAAGTAGAGAAGAAGTGTTATATTTTATTTCATTGCTTAAAGTAGGGCTTTGAGATAATAATTGAAGAGGAAGCTCATCGTAT